GGGGTGGGCCATCGGGCCCTTAGCGGCCATGAGTGGGCGTTTGGGGCCGATGCGTCCACTCCTGATCCTATGCTTTGAATGTTAGCCCCGATGGGAGGACGCCCCGAGGGGGAAGGAGGAGGAAGAGAAGGAGAAGGAGAAGGAGGTGGGGTTAGAGCTGGAGGAGGAGTAGGAGGAGGAGGAGGAGGACGAGGAGGAGGAGGCAGACGCCACAATCATCCTGAGGCGCTGCGAGTCCGCTCAACGTCAAAAAAGGAGGAGGAGGAGGAGGAGGAAGCATGAAGGCCCTCCCCCCCCCGGGACCCCCGCCGCGGCGACCCCCCCCCCAAACTGGGGAGGGGCACTGGCACGGGCCCTGACGGGGCCGATCCTCGGCCTAAGGTCGGAATGCACGCCCACCAGGCCACGAACATCCGCCGACCCTGTCGGCGTGTGGAAGAGGCTGTTCCGTTTGACTCGTCGTCGTCGTGGTCGTTGTCGTCGTCGAGCGCGCCCAGCCACAGCGAAATCCAGCAGCGTTGTAGTGGAGTCGAAAGGGAGCCCTTTCCCTTTGATCCCTTCCCCGCCGGGGGGGGGGGGTCCCGGGGAAGTCCAGGGGAAGTCCTGGGTCAGATACGACTCCCCCCTGGGCGGTTCGGGGGCCCAGAAACGCCCCAAGACGCGGCAAAAATGCCCCAAGACGCCCCCAAGACGGTCCTCGAGGGCCACGAATCGCAGAAGTATCTGTCCAAGTCGCCAAGGTAGCCTCAAGACGGTAAAAAGGTTTCCAAAACGTCCCAAGCGGCCTCTAAGAGGACTTCAAAGAGGGCACCGAGGAACAAACATAGATTTCCCGTAGCTATTTGAAAGAGTTCGGCTTTCTCGCCTTGTCAGCTTCCCGACGCTCCAAGACAGGCCAAGAGGCCCCCAAGACTGCCCGAAGATGGCCCAAGAGAGGTCCAAGAGAGCCCCAAAACGACCCAAGAGAGCCCCAAGACCCTCCCAGAGGCCTCCAAGACAATCGAAGAGGCTCCCAAAACGGTTGTAAGAGGGAGCCCAGACGGGGGACCTGAACGGACATTTCCAGCCCTCGGCTTGAGAAGCTCTCAGGGGACCCCCAGAGGCCCCTAAGAAGCCCCCCAAGAAGCCCCAAGAGGCCCCCAAGAGACCCCCAGGAAGCCCCGAGAGGCCCACAAGAGGCTCCCACGCGGCCCCCAAGACCTTCCCAAGAGGCCCCCAAACTACCCCCAGGAGGCCCCCGAGAGCTTCGTCGTTGTGGTCGTGGTTGTCGCCGCCATGCAGGGTTGGCGGTACCAGCCGTAAGGCCTTCGCAATATCCACCAGTCGGAAGAAGTAGGCCCGCCGACCCGGTCGGCGTGTACAAGACGCGGTTCGTCGTCGTCAAGACGCTGTTCGTCGAGAGCCTCGTCGTCGACGTCACCGCTCCAACATCGAAGTCGCCGCTCTCGCTCCTTTCCCTGAGCCCGTCGCCGAACAGACCAACGTCTCATTGCGTCAACGGGAAGCCCCTTCACTTTGATCCCTTCCCAGGGGCGGGGGGGGGGGTCCCAGGGGGGGGTCGCCACCCAGATACGCCTCCTCCCTGGAAGGGCAGAAAAGCCCCAAGACGGCCACGAGGCCCCCAGGACGGTCCAAGAGGGCCCCGAATCGCCGAACTATCGGTCTAAGACGCCGAAGCAGCCTCCAGACGGCCCACAAGCCTGGCCCCAAGAAGGCCCAGGAGGCCACAAAGACGCCCAAGAGCGCCCCAAGAGGCGTTCAAAGAGGGCCCCAAGGCGCCAACACCATCGATTATGGTGAAGTGTTTGAAGGATTGGTGCGTTTGCGCCTTTTCGGTTTTCCGACGCTCCACAACGGCCCAAGAAGCCCCCAAGATCGCCCCAAGACAACCCAAGAGGGCCCCAAGACGGCCCAAGAGAACCCCAAGACAGCCCAAGAGCCACCCAAGATGGCCCAATATGGCCCCAAGACGGCCCCACGAGGGGCCCCATAGGGACCGCGAACGGAACATTCGAGCCTTCCTCTTCAGGAGACCTTCAAGAGGCTCCAAGAGAAACCCCCTAGAGGCCCTAAGGGGCCCCAAACGACCCCCGAGAGGCCCCAAGAGGCAACCAAGAGGCCCCAAAAAGGCCCCACGAGGCCCCCCGGAGCCCCCCAACAGGCCCCCAAGACGCTCCCAAGAAGCCCCAAAACTATCCCCGTCGGCGTTGTGCCCGTCGTCGCCGTCGCCGTCGTCCTCGTCGTTGGCGTCGTCGACGTTGTCGTCGTCGTCGTCGCCGCCGCCGCAGCTGTCGTCGTCGTCGTCGTCGTCGTCGTCGTCGTCGTCGCCGTCGTTGTCGTCGTCGTCGTCGTTGTCTTCAGGGTCACCCGCACCGGCCGCAAGGCCTCCACAATACCCGCCAGTCGGAAGAAGCTGCCCCGATACGCAACACGCAAAAGGTAGCATATTGTAGACTGAATCTGTAGGTCTGGCGCGATACTTTCGCCAAAACGTGGGCCAGTACGTTGACCCAACACGCGACGTATTGATGCAAACATTTCGAGCGCGGTACGTGCTGCGTATCGCGACGGGCGCATTGAGGCAAATGAGAGTAGGTAGACGCATGAAGTAGAAAGGCGGATAAAGTAGATTGGGCTCGAGCCCGCAGGGAAGAACGAGCACAACAAGAACAAGCATACCGATTCTCGAGGCAGGAGGGCGCTTGACGTGGGCTGGGACCTGGGAGATCAGAAACTCCTACTTTCAACGACTGGCGTGTACGCGTAAATGGGAGGTCGCGTTCGAAAGAAGCCGAGCAGATTGCCCCCTCCTGGCGCCACCCCAGTAGCACCGATCGCGTGCGCTGCCCCTGAACAATCTTCACACGGACCACCCGAGGTCCGCTCGGACCTCCGGCAGGTGTACAGAAGGGTGACTGGAACCAGGAACGCCGAGTGAGGAACGAAGCCCCTTCTTCGCGCCAGCAGCGCCTGGGTTCAGAAGGAGGGAGCTAGAGGAGCAACCACGGAATGACCCAAGGAACAGCGAGCCCCTTCCGAAGCCGATACTGCTTGTTCTTCCGTCGACGCTGCGCACCTGAGGAGAGCCGCAACGGGGGGCCTGGCCCAGGGGGGGCAAAAACAGTGACCCCGAGTTGACGATACACTTTGCCGACAGATCGGCCACAAGAGCACGACCCCGAGACCGCACATCCCTGGGCGAGGGAACCGGGGCCCTGGCCCCGAGCAGCGATATACATGGGCGACTCGCGGTCGATGCTTTGCCCTCTCCCCGTGGGTCAGTCTCCCTTCTCTTGGGGGTCCCGAAAGTCGGCGGCGGGCGAGGTCGGAAAGTGAGGAGGAGGCCTTCTCAGAAGGCAGCGGGGCTTCTCAGAAGGCCTCTGGCCTTCTGAGACGTTTTCTGTGCCGTCGGGAAAGGCTTGGAGAACTTTTCAGAGGGCTGGGGGACTTCCGAGCCTTCTGAGAAGGCCCACCCCTTCTCACTTCTCAATGGGCTCGCCGCCGAGAAAGGATGCGGTGACAGACCGTGCGAGGACCCCGAAACCCAGCAAGACCTCAACGCACGGTCAGTCACCACGTGGTTCCAGGGCGCTGGAGGTTCCAACCGCCCGAGACATCATATGACGACGACCTGGGTCCCCACACCGTGCGGTCACTTCGAATCTCACAGGCTCACCATACGGTGTGGTCACCGCGGTCTCTCGCGTTGTCGATTCGTCTATCGATCGTGTTGTCTCCCTGACCTCTGTCTCAGCGCCCCTCTGCAAAAAAACGTGGTCACCGCCACGGCTGCGGATCATCCCTTCTCGTTGCCCCTGACCGATGCTCCTCACCACTCGGCATGAAACAAACGGGTCCTGAGTGAAACGGGTCCTGAGTGAGACGGGGCCTTCCCCAGGACCAGCTCTTCATCTGGAATTGGTTTCGGGCAGTCGAGGCCCCAAGAGGCCGAAAACGGCGAGAGACCCCAAGACCCGTTTCCCTCAAGACCTGCTTGCTATTTGGCGAACCCCCTGCACCGTTTGCGGAGACCCCCTCTCGTTGCCCCTGGCCTGGGGGGGGGAGCGAAGTGGCACCGATACGGTTACTCCCCGGACCTCTCCTGGGGTGCGCTCGGACCAGAATCTCGAGGAGAGTCCGGCCGTGGAGGCGAGGGCTCTCCAGGGCGAGCTCAGCGGTATCGGTACCTCCTCCGCCTCCTCCTTGGAGATCCCATTGCCCCTGGCCGGACTCTCCTCGCCACCACGGGTGCTCCTGGCCCCCTCGAAGCCAAGGGGCACACGGGTAGGTGGCGACATCCGAACCCTAACCACGCCTACCATCGATTCTCCTGAATCGATGGGGGGCAGTGATTGGGTTCGGATTCCGCCGCGTGTTCGACGAATTCCGAACCCCACCCCCGCTGCGCATCGAGTTGCCTGGATCGCTGGTCGGCAAGGGGCAGGGTTCGGGTTTCAACGCCGAGCCCAGTTCTGTTCATGCTCCCCGCCGTCTGCACGGCAGACTGCTTGTCCACCCATGCCCCGGACTGGGCCCGGAAAGCCGACAGGCCTCCTCGCGTGGCTCCCTCGCTCGCTGCGCGTTCGCAGGTCCGCGCGGGTCGCAGGGCTCGGATCTCGCTGCCGAACCTGGGCACGCGGGGCACACGCTCGCCTCTGCGGCCCCAGGCCCGGCCATCCGGGTGGGGCACGCGGGCGCTCCTCCCCCTCCTCCTCCTCCTCCTCCTCCTCCTCCTCCTCCTCCTCCTCCTCCTCCGCCTGCTCTTCCCGGGGACACCAGATTTTACCAATACCACTCTCCCTGGACCTCTCCAGGGGTGCGTTCTGACCAGAATTTCGAGGCGAATCCAGCGGTGGCGACGAGGGCCTCCCAGGAGGCCCCCCAAAAAGACGAAAACGAAGCGAGGGTAGCGGTATCGGTATCTGTTGCTCCTCTGACATCCTCCTCGTGTCGTTGCCCGCCGCCCCCACAGCAGCGCCCTCGAAGCTCGCCCGGGGCTCCCTGAGGCCGGACTTGGCCGAGGCGCCCGGGCACAGGGCGAAGGTCGTCCTGCCGCGCGAGGCCGCTTGGCGCGGGGAGACGCCGCGAGCGGCGCTGCACTGGCCGGCGGCAGGGCCCTTCCTGGGAGCCCATGGGCGGCCAGCTGGGGGGGGGAGTGGCGGGGCGGGCTTTTCCAGAAGGCTCGGCGGTCCCCCGGCCTTCTGAGAAGATTTCTGAGCCGTCCTCGAAGATGCAGAAGGCCTCTCAGAAGGCCGGAGAGCTCTTCTGAGAAGTCCAAGCGCCTTCTGAGAAGGCCTTCTCTTGCTCACTTCCGCCCCTCGCTCGCTGTCGAATGCCCTCCCTGGAAGCCCAGACCCCTCGGGTCACAAAAAAATCACGGCGGGAAGATTTTGACAAATCATAAGTCTCTATCAGGGGCCATGGCTGGGCCCAAAGACCGTCGAACAACAGCTCAGGATGCAAAACTTGTCCTGGGGAATGGATCGAGGTCTCTGGAGGTCGACGCGGTGAACAAAAGTCACGACGTCGGGGGTTTGGGAGAGGAGAGCCACGTTCGGAGAACGTATCTTGGGTAAGCCTTCACGGGAGCCCATGTGAACCTCCGCGGCCCTATCACTAACGTGAGTTGGACTGGATTTAGTCCAGATTTCGACCATCACTCTTCACACTTTCGTCCAAATCTCGTCCACAATTCGCCCAGATTCCGACCAACGCCGTACGACATGTCAAAACCGACTGGACATCTCGGACCCTCTGAGGCTTCCATGAAGGACCACACCGCGCATCCATATCCACACCCTCGCGGTCTGAATTCCGGGGCGCGATCCCATCGATACGCGGTCCCGCGGATACGCGGTCGCACTGATACGTTCCGCGCGGGGCATCCTCGAAAAGACGCCCCTCTTCCACGGGGTCGCGGCACAGGGTGCGGCCCGCGAGGCCGCGGATGCCGATATGCGTTGTGCCCACGAGAATGGGAAGAGGACTACCAACAAAACGCGTTTACAGTCGTCGTTGTCCTCCTCCTCCTCCTTCTCCTCCCCCTCCTCCTCCTCCTCCTCCTCCTCCTCGTTATACTTATCCTATTATGGTAATCAGTTCGTCAGCCTTGACAGGGACTGCATGAGGTTCAGCTCAGCTCAGCTCAGTTCGCTCAATTCCTCCTCCTCCTCCTCCTCCTCCTCCTCCTCCTCCCTCCGTCCTCATGGCGCGCATTTTGCGCGTCCAAGTCGCCTTGGCGCGTGACTGGGGTGTTATCGTCTGCACTTGCACGCAGTGGGCGTGCTGTCCTGATTTGTCTTGTCCACGCGCATGTTGCGTACGGTTGCTTTGTTCGTTGGTCTTATGGGGGGGCTCCGGTTTGCGGGGCAACTCCTTAGATATAGATCGGGGGGGACCTAGTCGTGGCCGAGGCTCGCCGCCGTGGCCAGAAAATCCCTTTCGTTCATTCTTGCGCGTTTCTTACGGGGGAAGCGAGGTCTTCGCAAAAACAAATGAAAACAATTAGGCCCGATTGAAGGGCCATGATGCCGGGTTGGGCCAAATTCAGCCTAGGATCAAGCCCGTGACTGAGCCGGATGACGCAGGGGCTCAGCGGAATTAGGTGGGACTGCGCCGGGGTGGGCCGGTTTTCGACCACCAGCGCTGATGGTGCACAGAAGCCTCCCCGGAGCTGTATCAAAGGAGGGGGCACAATGAGCATGACGGGGGCGAGGCCTGGAGGAAAGGGGTCCTCCAGGTTTGTCGCCGTTGCCAAAAGCCCCCGGTGCCCACCACTGGCCTCTGGACCGTCGCAGGACGACTCGGGATGAAGAGCTGGCCCTGGAAGGCCCCAGGGTCTCGTTGGTCCAAAACCTGGGAGAGGAGGGCCCAGGCACTCCTCGTGATATTCGTCATGGCGTGAGTTTAGCTGACAAGTTTCGGCCTTCTGGGGCTCTCGCGGGGCCCTGGGGTCGTCAGAAGCCAACTCAGGACGCCCAAAAGCATCTGAAACCCCATCCGACGTCGACCTCCCTTCCTCGCACCCCGCTTCCTCAGGGGCGGCGGCCGCCCCGCCCAAGCAAAAACAGAAGGCAGGAGGCCTCCCGCGGCACTCTGGGGCCAAAGTCATGTCGGATCCACGTCGGATGCGCGTCGGTTCAACTCCCTAGTCACGCCAGGCCGACGTCGGAACGTCGCCGCGCGAACGACTGCGCAGATCCGACGCGGCGGGCGCGTGGACTAGATGCTGCAACTATTGGGCGCATTGCGAGGCCTCCAGGAGTTCCCCCATTGCCAATGGTGACCGCATGGCTCTGCTCAATGGGCGACGCAGGGTCGGCGCCGAGCAGGGGCGCAAACCCCGCGGAGAGAAATGGGCGAAATCCGCTTCCCGTCATCGAACGGGCGCCCCTAGGGTTCGAAAGCGGCGCTTCGCGGCGCTGATTTGCGAAGGGGGGCATGGGGCCAGACGACGCAGGGAATGGCCAATCGCGATCGGCGAACGCACGCGAGCCCGCGCCCCCGCGGCCATGACTCTGGGGCGCAGCCCCCGCAGGCGCGCGGACGCGATCCGCGCAGGGTGCGCGCGAACAGAACCTGCCCGCAGCCGCGGGGCCGCAGCCCGCGGGGCGCGGCCTGCAGGTGCGGGGGGTCGAACCGGCTTGCGCAGCTGGTTTCCCCGGCGCCCCTCGGCGCCGGAGGCGCCGAATTGCGCCGCGGCAGCGCGCGCCCGACGGCGGGCCCTGCGCTGCGGCAGCGCGCGCCCGGCGGCGGGTCCGAAACAAGCTTCGCGCGGCAGGTCCCGCCCCCCCCCCCCCGCTCTCCTTATCCCAGGTCGCCCGACCCGAGAGGGCTGGGGGGGAGGCGACGGTCCGCGTCGCATCGACGAATCTCACCGGCTCGAAACGCGCATCGGATCGGACCGCGTCGGGACGGGGTCACGATCGCGTCGGATTGGCGCCTCCAAAATGCACGACTGCGCCGCGCAAGCGTCGGGCTGCATCATGGCGCTGGAAAATCGAAATTGACGCGGGTCGAACCCAGGGCCACGGGGTGCTAAGAGCGTGCGGAGCGGCTGCCAAACTGGGGGGACTGGGAGGAGGTCAACGCGGGCGGGTCCGATGAGCGCGACGCTGTTCGGGGGGCCATCGACGGGGGCAAGGCGGAGCACGGGCTCAGCGGCGGAGATGGGCTCGTCCGCGCCGAACGGCCCCACGAGGGAAATCAGCGCCCGACGGGCAGACGTCGGGGGGGGCGGCCGCCAGCGAGCCAAATTCGTCTCCGTCCTGCTTCTTGGTAGTTTCCTGCGTAGCCATCAAGTCAAAGTAGTCGGAGTGCACGGTTCGCCCGGGCACGCAGGGCCGCCGCCAGCGCTAGGGAGACGCGGCGCAGGAATCCCCGCGCCCCGAGCGAGAGCGCAGAGTGTACCCTGCAGAGCAGCACGAGTAGCTGGAAGAAGAGCGTCTCCTGGCGAGCCGCCAGCACGCTGCGGCGTCGCGCCAGCAGTTGCAGGCGGGCGCGCCAGCCTCCAGGAGGCGCAGGGTCGGACGAGCTGCCCGCTGTCCAGGAGGGGCGCGGCACCGTCGCCCGCGAAGAGCCCGGCGGCGCCCCTGGGGAGGGGGGGCCGCGCGCCGGGGCCGAAGGTGGGGTCGAACTCGTGATCGGGATCGGAAATGCTCCCGCGGTCGAATGGGCAGAGCGGCTCGTGGCCGACGTTCGCGGCGGCGTCGACGGCGCCCACGGCGGACAGATCAGCATCGGTCGGTGGCGGGCATCCAACTGGGCGGCAAAGGCAGCTTTCGGTGGCTCGCATTCGTAAGACTGCCAAGACGACGGCGTGGAGCGCGAGCCCAGCGCCGACTGGTCGACGCCCGGCCCCTCCCACGCGGGACCAAGAGGACTCAGCGGCGGATTTAGCCGACATGTTCATCGAGAGAAGGGCATCCGCGGCCTGGCGCCCGCGCCAGCCACCCACGACAAAATCGCGACCCGCGTTCGAAATTCCATGCGAGAGGGGTCTGGCCCTCATTCTAGCATCTGCCTACGGCGGCGGACATGGCGACGCGCCGACAGCATGGAGCTGGGCGGATTAACAGGGAGGTGCCCCAGGAGTAATCGACGTAACCGCTCGCGGGGGATGGCGGGCCTGCACCGCCCTGCCAAACCAATTCCCACGGCCGCCTACCTCGCGGCGGCGGGATCGCTAACCTGGCGCTCAGCGAATGCGGGCGCGAAACTAGAAGGCGCAACCCACGCAGCAGTCGAGCCAAGAAGAGAAGTTGCCCACAGGCATGGCGTCGAAGAGCGTCGGGCGCGAGCTCGGCGCCCGTGGAACTCCGATTGTCCAGTTCTCGGTAGCGAACATGGGCATCTTGCGCCGGGGTCAGCGGGCGGCGCCGAGACTGCGCGAAGCCCGAGGAAACGTGCATTCCCATCAACTCAGCAAAACGCGCAGCGCCAAAGCCCGCGAGAGCGTCTACCAGGACTGGCGCGGGACCCTACGTTCTAGCCAAAGGGCATGCGACTGATGCCGAGGCAGCGCCTCGCTGGACTAGCACTGGAACCACAGCCATCCCCGCCGAAGCCATCGACGAAGAAATCGCACAATCATCGCTGATCACGCCGATCTGCGGATGCGCCTTCGCTGATGCGCCAACGCCGCAATGCCGCGCCACCTGCAAGTGGGGCGCGGACAGCCCGCGAGTTCCCAGCCCACCTCGGACGTCTCTAGCTTCGCGGCAAAACTGGAGAGCCCTATTCCCCCTCGCCCTCCGCCGAGGCGGCCGAGGCCCTGCCAGGCCTGCCCGCGCTCGCGAGCCGAGGGGGAGGGGGGGAGTGGGGGTCGCGCAGGCAAGAGGGGGAAGGCGGCAAACGGCAGGAGGATAATCGCGATCAGCGGCAGCTTGCACCTCGCCACCATACCTGGCGAGGGCCAAGAAGCGCGGGGGTCCGCGGCGCGGCTGCTCGTGGAGGAGGACGCGCTCGGGCTGCGAGAAGGGGCCGATGACGAGGTAGGTGGCGAGCAAGACAAGGAACAGCAACTGACGGAAGCCAGCCCGGGCTCGGAGGTCGGACGGGGTCGCCCATGGAGGAAGACGAGCAGGCGACCTTGCGCCCGCAGAGACTGGCCGCGGAGCGGCGATCACGGGGGCCCGCGCAGACGAAGTCGATCAAATACCCGCTGGGGCGGCATGAGCAGCCGCGTGGCAGGGGAAACGCGTGATCGCTATTTCCAGGACCACTTCGTCAAGCTCCACAGCGCTACCGATAAGCCCCGGTTGGCCCAGGGCTCGCTGAGGGCGAGCATGCCCCGCGGTGCGCTCGACGTGCCCTCCGAACTTCGGACTGCAAAGATAGCGCCGCAGCTTGTCGGGCGCAACGAGCCAGCCATGGCCACAGGGCAGTCGCCCGCGCTCCCCCAGGACGCGGTGGGAGGTCGCCCAAGCACTCGCCGCGGTTTTGAAGTGCGCGGTGGTCCTGGAGGTAGCAGACCCACGCGAGCAATTGCAAAATCATGGCCGCGTGACTGAGGGGCCACAGTGACGCCATTCTCGCGCACGTCTGGGCAGACCACGATGGCCCGCGTAGTTTTAGCACAGGTAGGGGGGCCGGGACCACTTGGCTTGCATGGAGATCGCTCCCTGCGCCCCGCGGCCAGCACGTGGGCCATCGCTCGTTGCAAAGGAAGTTGGGCGCATAGACCAACCGAAGAGAATTGGCCGTGCATCACGTTATGGAGGGCCTCGGCGAAGGCCTCGTTGCGCCGGGGCGCGGGATGGCGCCGAGCCGAGACTGCGAGCCAGTGAGCGCTCGTCCCACAACCGGCGGCGTTGTCTATGAAGCCAGGCGCGCAACCGCTCAAATTCAGGTAGGGCGCGATCAGCCGTCCAAAGAAGTGCGCCAGCTCTCATAGCCAACGGCCCACTAGCCGATCGAAGTTGAGTCCAAGCCACGATACTGATGGCGTCCATCGGGACGCGGAACGTGCGAGCGAGGGCGAGCATGTCACCGACCGTTGACGAGCCACCTCGGCATCAAGCGATTTTGTGCAACGTAGGACAAGACCGTGGAGATACGGGCGCTGCAGTGCGCGGCCAAGCGCGAGACAGATAGGTCGCTGCGTCTAGTCGGCTTCGATCGGGTCTGCGCCTTGAACGCAGGGGCTAGCCATCAAGCGTCTTCGTCGGCTGCGGGACCAAGCGACCATCCCAAATGGACGAGAGAGCTCACCATCTGGATGTTGCGAAAAGTGGGACCTCACCGAAAAGAGCTGCTCGAACATCGGCGGCAGCTTGGTCAGAGAACCCGCAGTGAAGCGGAACCAACGTGCATTTGTCAAAACGCAGAACAAAAGAGGCCACCACCTCCGCCGTCACCGTGACCTCCGCGAGCGTGGCAAGGGAAGAGAGCTTTTTCACCCCGCACCCAACGTCGCCCGCACAGGCCCCAGCAATACCCGCACGTGGTGCTTCGAGTCTCGCCTGTAGGTCGGTAAGAAATGGAAGGGTGGCGGCCGCGTAATGAAACCCGCTGAACGAGAAACCCTGGGCGATGCCTGGGGCGACCCACTACGCATGCGTAGATGCGTTCTGAACCATCGCGACCACCCCCGATTCTGAATGTACTTGGTCGTCGAACGCCGAGAAAAAAGGCCCTGGGGACACCCATGGCCGTAAAGACAAGGTACATGAACTCTTGCGAAAGGCTCAGGAAGGCGGCGTCGACGCCCAGAGCGAATGAGGCCGTCAGGGACGACTGCGCCAGCAGGGCGTCGGAGTAGGTCATGCTCACGGTGTCTGGCTCGAGGGTGCTGGGGCCAGAGTCCCTCTTGGAGATGAATCTTCTCTGAGACCGAAGGACCCAATCCATCAACAACGCGCTGAATCGAACATTGATGGTAGCTGTGATGATTTCGATGTCCGTGACTCTCAGGCCTAGGACCCTGACCGCCGACGGTGCGCGGACGCACCCGAGCGAGACTGAGTCAGCAGGCTCCTCGCCCTCAGGGAGCCGGACCTGAAGCGCGTCGGTCGAAACCTTGAAGAAAGCTGGCCCAAACAAAATGTTGAGCCTCCCGGGTGATGAGCACCAGTCCGAGTAGGTGTATGATCCGTGGTTGCGTCGTTGGCGTCGGATGCGGACTTGACACCCTGAAGAACGATGCGCCTCGACAAAGGAGACCTGAGCATAATTAGCGCGTCGCTCAAATGCCTGAAGTTGGTGCCGAAGTTGTTGGGCTGGGCGGGTCAGGAGGAGGACGAGGAGAGGAAGGGGAGGAGGAAGAGGAGGAGAAGGCGGAGGAGGAAGAGGAGGAAGAGGGCCAGCTGGGAGGAGGGGGAAGAGGAAGGAAAGGACGAGGATGAGGAGGAGGAGGAGGAAGAGGAGGAGGAGGAGAAGGGGGAGGCCGGCCAGCTGGGAGGAGGAGGAGGATGAGGATGAGGAGGAGGAGGAGAACAGACGGGAGCCAAAGTACACAGACCACGACAATGAAGAACTCGCGTGTGCGTAGACAGGCCCTGATTGGACTGTACTCGCACAAAGCCCTCGCGAGCACTGCCAGGTGAGGTGAGAGCATTCTGCGGCGACAGCAATCGCCAGGGCCTCCAACAAAATAGGCCCAAACAACAAAAAATGCCAGACGCCAGGTTTCAGCGTGGGTTTACCCATCTGGGCTGCCCTCAGGCGATCCCAGGGACATGCCAGTGCAATGCGACAGGAGAGCATCACAGCAGTAGAGCTCCAGAGAAACTAAGTAACAACATGCAAGCCCACTGTTCGTGAACTCCCACTCCCTGGCAGGGGAGGACGCCGACAAAGGATGCCGCGATGCGGACAGTCTGCTCGAGGAACGCACTTGTTCGTCAGCTCCCACCCCCTGGCAGGGGAGACGCTCACAAAGGATGCGGCGATGCGCACAGTCTGCTCGAGGAGCGCACTCTCACTTATGATGGTAGAGGAACAACAACATTCACAAACATAGCTTCTCGACGGTCCGCGCGGATTTCTTGGACCGGCGCTGGACCCCCCTCCCTGGCGCGCGGCGCGCGCCAGGGGCGTCGCCGAAATGCCAGCAAGGGAGCCCTGCGCCGATCCCCAAAAAGCGCGCAGAACTCCCAGAAAGGATGTTCATGCAATTGCACTTCTTCGCAATGATTTGAGCAGGGACCGACCGTCCTGGCAGTCCTGTAGGCCTACCCAACATAATATCAGAGCAAGATAATGTTCTAAGAACGACAACAATGTTCTTAGAATACAGGGCCGATGTATTTGAAGCCACACGGAATCGGCCAGAAATGTTTAAAGGACCTCTCCTGGAAGCCATATAACAGGTCCTTCGAATATTCTCCCGTGGGCCTACAAGCAGGCCAAGAAGCCTCGCCACTGCTCGAAAGGCGGGCAAGCCGCGGAGACGCTGGCGATGCCACCTCAGACGCATCAGTCCTCCCGCTCTCCGCGTCCAGTGGCAAGCGTGCCACCTCGCCCCTGCGGAGCGCTCCGCTGCCCCACCGGCTCTGGGCCAGGGAGCACAGGCTCGGCGTGGAGCTCTGCGCACCGCGGCCGACCCTGAGCGAGGCCGACGACAGGGAGGGACTCGACTCCGACCTCGTGAGCTTGTTCACGAGGGCAGTCTTGGTGTCGACGTCCCTCTGCAGCTCCCTGGCGATCAAGCGGGCGCGGTCCTGCGCGCTGGACAACTCTCGGTGCAGGAGCGCCTCGCAGGCCTCGAGGCGCCCCTCCGTGAGAGCCCTGTGCCGGAGCAGCTCCCCGCGCAGATCGTCAACCTGCTTCGAGCCGCGCCTCTCGACGGAGCCGATTCTCTCTTCGACGGCGGCGCGGGACACGTGTCCAGCGTGCTCCAGGTGCGCCTGCCGCAGTTCCTGGAGGAAGAGAACACGACATGAACATCAAACTGACTTTGCATCGAGCGATCCCCACCCGAGAACGCGAGGCGGGGCACCCAGGGAGCACTGGCACCCATGGAGCTTGGCGGCCGCGGCATGCAGCCCACACTTGCCATGGGCACGAGGCGGGATACCCAGAGAGCACCTACACTCCATGGGCCCGGCGGACGAGTTATGCAAGGTAGTCGGGAACTCTATCTCTTTGAAACTAACACGCCCAACGTGTCGAGGGGGGAACCTCTCCGGACAAGAACGGAAAGCGCCGCTTCTCTAAGCTTGCGTGCGCACGCGCGCATGGATTTGCAACCAACGTGCATGCGTGCACATGGATGCAGTCGCTGGGCTCCCCCAAATGCCCAGATGGTCGCCGTTGGTAGCTCGTGCTTAGTGGTTGCCTGCGGGCGACCACCCAAATGTGGACACGCGGGGGGCAAACCACATGTCCACGCATGGCTTGCCATCCAAATGTGGACACATGCGTGGCAACAAAATGTTCGCACGTGGGTGGCACCCCGAATGTGGACACATGAGTGGCAACCCAAAGGTATGCACACGGGTGGCCACCCAAATGTGGACACGTGGGTGCCCGCCCGAATGTTACGGTTTCCACCCGTGTGTCTACAATTTGCGTTGCCGTACCTTGCAGAGCCATTGCAGGGTTTGCAGGGTCGTTTGCAATGTGTTGCAATCGTTGCAGGGTCTTAGCAGGTGTCTTCGCAGGATCTTTTGCGCGCGGTCTTGGGAGGAGCTCCTCCTCCTCTTCCTCCTCCTCCTCCTCCTCCAACTCCAACTCCTCCTCCTCCTCCTCCTCTTCCTCCTCCTCCTCGCTTCTCCTCCTCCCCATCCTCCTCGCTCCTCGCTCCTCGCCGCTGTCCTTTCTCCTCCTCCTCCTCGCTCCCCCTCCTCCTCCTCCTCCTCATCCTTTTCCTCCTGATGGTTCCTCGCTCCTCGCACCTCCTCATCGTCCTCCGCCCCAGTATGAACAGAAGACGTCTTGAAGCAGGTCGTCTACCATCTCAGTCGTCCTCGAGCGAGAGCCTCGTTTTTATCTTGTATAACAAAGCGACGAATTCGCAAGATCCCTGGAGATCTCATGCTTCTGAAGATGTCTCGAGCGGCAGCCTCATGTCTTACATAAAGCGTATCAAAGCACGTCCTTGAACATCTCACTTGTTCGAAGACGTCTTGGGCGAAACGGCCGTTTTGGAGGGAACCTTTTCCGGACAAGAACGGGAAGCGCCGCTTCTCTGAGCTTGTGGGCGCACGCGCACATGGAGTTGCACCCAACACGCATGTGCGCGAATGGGGAAGAATCTCTGGGATCCCCTGCGTGCCCAGACGGTTGCCATTGGTAGCTTATGTTTAGTGGTTGCCTGCGCTTGCTTTGGTCAGGCGTTGCAGTCTTTCCTCTGGGAATCGGGGTAAGATGCCAAAGGAATTAAGGTCTCATGTCTACTACTCTCACTGGTAGAGGATATGGAATGAGACATCGATGAAACAATCTGTTGTCCGTTAAGCAACTGTACTCAAGTATAGGAAGGGAGGCGGCCGGCCGGCCGACGCCCGGACGCGGGCGCGCAGCGGCGCGCCCCTTTTCTCACTCGAGCAGCAAAGGTAGCTGCGGTATACAATAATACTAATGTCAAGGTATGGAGAGGCAAGTGTACGATGAGGCGGAGAGGAGCACATTTACTCCCCCCACGGCGGGCTTCGTAGAGCACATCCAGCCACATCCCGCCCGGCCTGTACACATTTACAGCCACCGGAGCGAACCCAAAAAACATTTTACCGCTCGACGGAGGTTGCCAGGGGGCTGAGGGCCGAAGAAACCCGACGACTCCCACCAGTAGTTAAAATAAAGCTTCTCCGCCGAAGCGACGGGGTCGTTCGGTCGGCGCCAATGCGACTTGGTTGTTTGGCTCGCGTCTTCACTCACTCGTTGTACCAGGAGGACTGCGAGTGTGAAGGCGGAGCAGGAGGTCTCGGAGTCGAAGACGAAGAACTTCCCTTTTGTCTTGCTGTCCAGTGAGGCGCAGCTGGCTTGCCTCCCTTGCCAGTGCCAGCGTATGGAGCTGGCCGGACGTTCTTGGACTTGTCCTTGTTCTTGGCGCACCCCTGGCCCTCCTCTCTCGGGAAGTAGTAGGTGTAGTTGTTCAGGGACACGAAGTGCCACACACGACTCTGGAGTTCTCTGGGATGCTTCCAGTACATCACGTCCCGGTGGACCCAGTAATTACCCCTTCAACCCAGTCGCCGTGCACTGCGGGTAGTGGATCGCGGGGTCATAGGCGCCATCATCACGGCCGGCAGCCATGAGCCCGCCGCGCGCGCGCGGTCATTGGCAGATCCCACGTGTCCCCGTCAGAAGATCGTCTCGAAAACTCCTCACCCGCCGATGCGGTTTGACCGCCGGCGGAGTAAGGAGACTCAGCGATGTCATCATTGGCCCGATCGTCTTGGACGCTGGGCCGTCTAGGCGGGGCAGGTGGAGCCGGGCGTCCAGCAAGGCCTGGCCTTGCTGGCGCGGCAGGAGCCCCCTCCGAACCGGCTGGGCCATCGGAGGGGTCTTCAGCGGCCCCTTCCTCGCGAAGACGCTTTTCATGCTGCTATTTCGCGCATCTCACAGTGCCCCTCGCAGCAGTAGCCACATAGGCACCGTATTCCCCACAGGCAGTGCGAAAGGGGCCTTCGTCGATGTCCTGATCTTCGGTAGATGCCAGGAATGGGTATAAGAAAAAGACAGCTTCTTGCAATTGCACGCCTTGGTGACGAATATCAGTGCGACGCTGTTTGCCCAGGTCGCGAGCCCGCGCCTCGACGAGGTCGCATGTATCGACGGCCGCGCGAATACGGCGGTCCAGCGCATGCGCGTCGGCGCGGCGCTGTTCATTGTCATGCCCGTCGTCTTTGTCGCGAGTATGGAGGCCATCCGTGGGATATGCAATGCAATACCCCTCGGCAAGAAAACAAGGGATGAGCTCTCGGACAATCACAAACACACGCATGACACGAAGGTCCAAGTCGAGCTCCTCAACGGGAATCTTCCAACTCCGCACAATGGCCTCTCGCACATCTTCAGGAACTACATGTGTGAATTCTCCCGTTAGGCGCGACCTATCGATCGCGCCCGTTCCCGGGTTGTGGCGCATGTGCTCCATGACATACTGCGCAGCAACAGCGATGGCTTCCTGCGCCGTCGTGGCGACGCGCAATGTGCCATCATCACGTCGAGGGTTCACCTGTCCATCAGGCAGATCAAGATTGGTCTTCCCTTCGAGCATCTGCTGGGTCTGGGGCCCGCAGACGGCGGTGAAGTCGAGGGGCATCGGACCAAGTCCCTCGTTACCTGTCGTCTCGGCTTGGCCGGCGACAGGTTTTACAATGCTGAGAGGACGTTTGGAACAGATTTTGTTGCGCCTGGATGCTGACTTGGATTGGCGGGCAGGACGAGAAACAAGCTGATCCGCCCAGGCAACAGGCGGACGTCCACGAGGGCTGGGCCCTGTGACGTCCGCGCCGGTATCCTGTGCATCGGGCATCCAGGCCGCCGCTCCTGTCTGTGCGTTTCGAATCGTCTGAAGAGTCGGCACAAAGGTTCCTGTCCTCTGCATGTTGCCCTCCCATGCTTCCCAGCCTCCGTTGGGGGAAATTTGCGATTCATCCACTTCCGGCCAGTCGAAAGCAGCCAGAGCAGGACAAGAAAAGGGGCGCGCATACTGATCAATGTCTGTGGCCCAAACCAGGGGCCACCACTCTGCGATCGTTGGTTCTTGAACCCCTTCTCTCTGTGCCAGAAATGCTCGCCACTTTATGAAACGCCTCTTGAGAGGTTCAAGATACTGGAAGAAAGGTCCGTCCGTGGCGCGCCGGCGGCTGGGCCGCGGCGTCGCCAGGGATCCAGGCAGGAACGCTGCCAGGGCGGCTGTTGCCAAAGGTCTGACCTGCAGCAGCCATCGTGGTGTATCCACCATTCGCCCACTTACGCTCACGCTTCAAATTGTTGTTGATGTTTGTCATGGCATCAGCTGACGCTTTGCCCTGCAGTTGTCGTCTCTCTGCAACGTACCGATCTTGTTTCCAGACAAATTGTCGTGGCCACGAACGGTCAGCTTGAGGCCATTATTCCACAGTGAGTGCTCAATGGTCCGCGACTGGAATGACTGGAGCAAGTAATTGTGCGCAACCATACATTTGCACTTCGCTGCGTTATTGCAGAAGGGGCAACGGCCGAAGCCTGTCCGCACCCAATGCAGCTCAGCGCAGAGGAACCGACCATCGTCGTCCCAGGGAACAGACCGGATAAACGCGTCTGCCCTGTCAGGCCAGTCCCTGTAGTCTGGCCGCAGCGTCACAGTCTCGTCAGTGTGAATCCAGCCAAGCATGGAATTCTCGTCGAAATCCATCTCATACGAAGTCCACTCCTGAGTGAAGACAAGGGCCCAAGAAGTCACCATTTGGTTCGCATTTGTCCAATCAGGTACTGTGGCAAGAGTGACAGCTTTGTCTATGTCGGTGAACTTTGGCACCAGATGGGACACAAGGGTCCGGTCGCGGCAGACCCGGTACGAAAATCGGGTAAGTACGCGGCCATTGAAGACAAGAACGAGCGGCCAGGATTCTCTGCGTGTTGGGAGCTGGTCCCACAGACGGACTGTGTCCACTGTGGGCCATCGCCCAATCGTAGGAGGCTGCCCCACCTCGGGGGCTTGGCCCATTGGGCGGTGCTCTTTCGCAGGAACACTTTCACCATCCCTACGCTAGCTTAGCCAGGAGGGAAAATGGTCTGGGCTTTGCATGACCGGGTCCCGCTTGGTCGGAAGAAGCCTCAACAATCCATAGTCCGACTCGAAACAGAAGCCTGATGCGCTCTTGGGGAACTGAATGCCCCCGAGCATCGACCCCTGCAACGCCGCCATATCCGCAATATGGAGGAGAGGCCCATGACACCTGGCTAGGCCAGGGTCATAGGGCGCATG